GGCAGCAGTGGTGCCTAAGGCTCAGAATATCAATGACCTGGCTTGTGTTTCTGTATTTAGGGCATCATGCCAACTATGAAATAATTGTCATACTATTTGAGGGTGGGATTTGTGTAGGATTTCTCTTGTTATCCTCCAAAAGGTCAGGCTCACCAACCTTGAACATATGTAGTAAGGCACTGCTGAATAAATAAATGAATGGCAATTCCTTGCCTTTCAGGAAGAAGTAGACTCGGGCTTCTATTTCAGAGTACGGTGAGGCCAGAGAGTCCAGAAGATTTTGGAGGCATGTGAATCTGAATCACTTCCCAACGAGATTGTGTCCAAAGGTTAAATGAACCAGGAGGGGAAATGAACATCAAGCAGTTCACCAATAATCTCTTTAATAGACAGAGAAGATTTCTATTTGCTGTGGTACAGTTTTTTTTTTTTAAGTACTTTCTCTTAAACTTACAAAGTTAATATACATGAGTTTTATTGGAGCCCTCATAGGTTAACCATGGCTAACTAAATATTGAGTGCCCTTCCTCTGAGGTGTATTTGGTGGAGCTGCCGCCAGAGATGGGGGCTTCCGAGAGCCAGCCCACACTACGCTTTCTTTGGTATATTTGCAGTGGGTTATTTGTCTGGTTCTAGAAATCAAAAAGGGCATAAGGCAAGATCCCACGTGACATCCCTACTGACTGAAGTAAAGAGGGGTCCCAAGTGTGGCAATGTTCTCTTAGCAGAATTCCGAAGATTCCTCTAATTCCATAATTTTCCGAGTACCACCTATATAACCCTCTGGACCATCACCCTTCTACTAACCTGGGTCAAGGGCAATGCCTGTGGGAGCCCCCATCCTTATAGATGACTGTCTAAAGTTATAGTCTTTAAGTCTGATGTTGATCTGTATATAAAAGGTAATGATCTCCTACTAGGAGGATTCAGAGGAAGGTTTAAGGAAACACAACCTTCATGAATAAACTGAACCCCTTTGCCTTAGATAGCTCACTTTATTTGGTGTTAGCGATCCAGCAATGAAATTTTATGGTATACTGAGTCACTGGGAAAAATGCAACCCTCAGACGTCCCTAGAATGAATTTATACAATCTGAAATCCCTCCAGACTAAGGTTAGGATACTGTTTGACCTAGGCTGGAGTAGCCCATAGTTCAAGTGTACCAGTGGTGGTAGACACCATTGCCAGCCGAGTCCTCGTCAGTCTGGTGCCCATATATGCCCCTTTGTAACCTGCTGCTAAATCCCATAACCACGTTTCTCATTGGGGGCACTGGGGTTTTACTGAGCAATGCTCAAAATATTTTCAAATGATAACAAATAACTATAGATATCCTGCATTTTACAGATTATCTGTGTCAAAAAAAGAGAAGATGATTTATTCTACACAATCAGTATCTGTTCTTTAGATGGAAATAATAATAGAGTTAATAATAAAAGTACTAATTTATTAGCTTGGTGTTCCTATTCTTTTGGTAACACTTAAATTAGTTTTTCTGATTTCTTTTCGTAAAGGACATTTCTGAACCATCATCGAGTCTCCTGAATGGATCTACCTTGAGCAAAATTACTGCCAGAGGTACTCAAATCGGTTATGTCCCTTACAATTAATAAACTTATGAATTCACATTGCTTTTAAGTCAAAATCTTGTCAATTTGGTTAATACTTGTTTTCCTTTAGCAACTATTTATGGGGTATCTGCTGTGTGGCAGGCACTGGGCTGGGAGCTGGGGCTGTAGTGTGAAAAAGGCAGACAAGGTCCTTTAATTACAGTCTGATGATTATCATGGGCCTGATTAACCCTGACTCAACTGATACAATCTCATTCTTGAGCCTGTTAAACTGTAGGGTACATCGTGAGTTGAACAGTCACTCGGTGAAGTCTTATCTGAAACAGCCAGGCAGTTCTGCTCTTAATTATAACTCTGGGATCTGAGAAAAGACAAGGGAAGGAGAGAAGGAGGGAGGGAGGAAAAACAGAAGAATTATCAATTGAGGCACTAATGCCACTCAAAGCCTTGGAAAAGCAGCTGAGGCTGAAGGTACAACCATATCACCAAAGCTTTTAAAGTCACAGTTATTACCCATTTCTCTCCAATTCCTCCAAAGCCAATCCCTCAAGGGGAAAAAAGAAGATGGACTATATGAAAAATTCTCTATAATGGATTTACAGAGCCAGTTTTGGGAAGCACGTCTAGTAAATTCTTCATTTTAAAAGTCTTTTACAATTATTTTATTACCCATATACAGTAATACATTTTGATAGGGAAGAAATTAAACTACACCAGCCAGAACCCAGGAGGAAGAAAGGGTTACAACTTAGCTCTGTGTTAAATACTTTTTGGTGTCTCATTCATTAATGACAATGATTAAAGCAGAAGGGCTGGTTCTAAAGCTTTATAGTCTTTTCAGCTGTACATGTTAAAAACACTGTTGAGGGGCCGGCCCGGTGGCCCAAGCAGTTAAGTGCATGCACTCTGCTGCAGCGGCCCGGGGTTCACAGGTTCGGATCCCGGGCACACACCAACGCACTGCTTGGTAGGCCATGCTGTGGCGGCGTCCCATATAAAGTGGAGGAAGATGGGCACGGATGTTAGCCCAGGGCCAGTCTTCCTTAAGCAAAAAAAAGAGGAGGATTGGCAGATGTTAGCACAGGGCTGATCTCCTCACAGAAAAACAAAAAACAAACAAACAAAAAACACTGTTGAACTATGTAAAGCCATTCAGTTCAAATTTGAGCCTCAGAGCTGAGCCTTAGGTGGGTCCAGTTTAAACCTGTGATGTGGACAGAGGATATTTCTATCTATATCCACAGAGCACAATGTCTTACTTCATACCATAGTGGGGAAAGATGAAGAAAAAACAGTTTGTACAATTCAGGCCATGGACAGTCCTATGAGTCTGCAAGGACTATGTCATGAGCTCAGAACCTTGACCATGGAGAACACCTAAGACATGCACACAGGTGGCTTGTTAGTGGCAGGCTCTGGCAGTCTGGGTCTAGTTTCTTATTTTGCCAATTTCAAGGGGATGATGATCTCACACAGAATCAAAGGCCACTGAAATGAACGTGTTATTCAATCCCTTGTCTGATCAAGGTCAGCTTTAAATTGACCTGAGAAATAATATACCAGAGAGGCAATTTCTGGTTCTTGGATTACACAGTAATCCATAAGATTTTTTAAAAATAAAATGTCTATTGGAAGCTCTACTGCTACCATTAAAATGAATATCCCTAATATCTGCCCTCTTCTGAAAGAGAGTTCTCAGGCAACGTGTAGGGTGGTCCTGATTATGAGCTTTACTCTGAGCTGGCACATTCAGAGAGGGCTCAGGAGATGCTACTCTGGGTGGATTGTTGAAGGAAGTTCCCAGCAAGTGGTTTCAGCTGTGAAGCACATCTCTGGGGTGTAGAGGGGTGAAGAGGAGGAGGGGAACACTGATGGTCAGCAACTACAGGTGAGGTAATGCCCTGGATAAGCAGGAAGGGTCAATAGCAAGGGGATGAGACTGTGAGGAAAGGAGTGGGAGAAGGGAGCAGGAGGACAGATGTTCTCTTTCCTTCCCTCCAACACAATCTCATTCATCCTCCTCCTTATGGTAGGCATTACCAGCACCTGCTTCTCTGCTTCTTCTAAGCAAACTGGAGTACACTTCCCTGCCCCCCTTGAAGTTAAGTGTGGTCACGTGACTTGCTCTGGCCAAGGAAATGGAGTGGAAGTGATGTGTGTCACTTCCTGGTAGAAGCGTTTAACAGGCTGGGCTTGACTTCCCAGCTGGTCTTCTGCTTTGCCCATCTTAATATACCTATTGATACGGAAGTGCTATAAGATCAAAGCAATAAACTATGTGTGAATGAGGAAGAAAACAAAACCAAATGAAGCAAAAGCAAAACCAAACAAACTTTTGTTACGTTTAAGACATTGAGATTACCGGGTTATTAGCAATCCCAACACCATACTGGGTCTTCTTTCCCTCTTTCTGACAGGCTGCCTCTCCCTCACTCCTTTCCTGCCTCCTCATCTCACTATCTCTTCCTTCCCTTCCTCTCCACTTTATGATTCCATTGCTCTCCTAACCAGAATAGTAAATATAACATTTTATGTTCTTATTCTTAATCTAAAACACGGATAAATTTGTTTTTTGGAAAAAAAAATGAGTAAGTTTTTTGAATTAAACATTTCATATTTCTCTTAAAAAAAAAAGCCCTGAGGTAAATTAAAAATCAGCTTAACTTGTGTAAAAAAATGTATGCGTTGAAAACCTCACTATGTTATATGAGCATATGGTGTTACTATTGTGTATAGGCTCTCAATTGATTTTCTTGTGTGGGTCAGTGGCTATTAGGAAAAATAAAAATAAACATAAACCTTCCCTAAACGCCATGCAACAGCCGTGCAGCTCAGAAAAACCAGAGCTCCCTGTGGAGTGGGCTCTGAACAGGAAATCACTTACAGCATAATCAGTCACTTACTTTTCAATGGTAACTTTGTTACGAAGGCTACTGGAGCTGGAGCATCCAGAAGCCTGTTCAAGACTAAGGGACATGTGAAGTTCGCAAAAGAACAACTTGTTTTCATGCACAATCATTCATGACATAGTATTTAGACCTGAGGTCACCCCCACCACCCCAAAAATTGTTTCAAGCAATTAAAGTCACTCTAGACACGAAGCAACAGAGAATGCAAGACCAGGAAAATGCAATTATAGCCTGGCTAATCATGCATATTTAAATAAACATGACAGATGTGTACTTTGAAAAAAAAGTCAACAAGCTCTGGTTTCAAAGAGAACATGCTCTACTAGGTAAACATGTCATGGACTTTTAGGCCATTTTATAGCACCATGGAGAGACCTGCTGAGGGTTTTACACATAACCAATTCTGCAGAGATGAACTTGTGCAGGGAGGAGAGGAGAAAGTATGTAACAGTTCCATGAGGAAAAGAAGAACATGCAAAAGGAGCCAGAATCAGGTGGAGAATTCTGAAGTTCACTTACTGCCTGCTTTTGCTCTTCCTCCTAGAGGTGTTGAAGACGAAAAAAAGGCAGAGGGAAAAACGGAGAGAGATTAATGCCCATCACCACAAACATTTGGAAGAAATGATAGAAGAATCAGGCAAACCAGGCCAGGCCCATGGGTTCAGAGATCAAAGGCCCTGACCACCATCAGAACATCAGAGCAAATGGCAGGCCTCTGCCCCATCCAATTCATTAAATGCTAACTTCTAGAGTTGCAAGGGAAGAACCTTAGAAGCCAGCTAGTCCAACTTCCTCATTTACAGATGAAAAAGGCCTAGAGAGGCTGACTTGCCCAAGGCCACACAGCTATTTAGGGTACACTGAAAGAAGCAGCTCAACCATGACTCCAAAGCCCAATAATCATTCTACTTCACCATTCACAATATTCACATGTGTTTAGGTGCATTTCTCTAAGCCAGTGGTTCTCAAAGTGTGGAACACAGACCACCAGCAGCAGCAGCATCACCTAGAAACTTGTCAGAGATGCAAATTTTGGGCCCCACCCTAGACCAACTGAAACAAAACTCTGGGGGTGGGGCGCAGCAATGTGTTTCATGAGCCTTTCAGCTGATTCTGCCGCCTGCTAGTTGGAGAACCATTGCTCTAAGAACTTCCCAACAACTAGCAATTCCACTTGACCACAGATTCTCTTATTTAGTCCCCTCCTCTTCACTGCTTTTGGACTGCTTTGTGTTTTTTTCCAAGGATGCACACGCATCCCCCTTCCTCCAACAAACTGGAAACTGCTTCAGGGCCCTGAGAGGCCTTTCAAAAAGAATTCTCGACCTCAGTGTTTCATTAATTCAATACAGCTTCATTTAGTACTTATTGTGCATAAAGCGCTGGAAACATGAAGATAAGGTGTGATCACTGTCTTTTAGAGCCTTACAGTGATGGTGTGCAGAGTAGGCACTTGCTGACTATCAGCTATAGCATGCACCACAGGCACTGTGGAAAGCAGCACAATGAAGATGAGATAAACACTTCGGAGTTTCTGCTCAGTCCTTTGCTCCTCAGCTACTATGTTTTAATTGGTCTCTTTGCTTCCTCTTTCTGTGCCTTTTCGCCAATAACCATGGTCAGGGAGCCTCTACTCTCTGCCCCAAGTACGCAAATCTAAAAGCTGTTGCAATGGTTCTATTTAAATTGGATCCATCCGCACAGGCAGTCTTTACTGAACATGTGTGTAGGAAGTCTTAGGAATGCATGAGTGCTTCTCAGTCTGCAGATCTGGGTGCAATGGCGAGAATGATTTCAGTAAAGCCAGGGAATTACAAAAGGGAGAGGGGAAGTAAAAATTTGGAGGAAGTAAATTTTATTCTTGCAACGGAGAGACATGGACTAGAAATTAAATGGGTACCAAGAAATCTCTTGAGGAGACTCCATCTCAGCATAGGAAGATGTTCTTCATAATCAAAGCCAGCTGCTAGATGCCTGACCAAACCTAAATGCACAGGAGCCCAGGCACAGAGGGCCCTGAGCATTAGCTGAGTTCCCCTTAAGAAGTCAGAGTCTTGGCATTTGTATCTGCATGCCTGGCTCCAGGTGGAAGGGGTTAGAGTTTTGCAAGTGGGAAGCGATCTCCCTTTCTACCCAAGCTTCCCTGCGGGGCATAACACTTTTCCTCCATTCACTAGGCAGGGCAAACAGCCGTAGAAGATTATCAAACAATTTAAAAATGCGTTTTTATTGCTAGCCCTAAGAGGTAAAAAGGAAACTGAAAGGGTGGGGGAGGTCTGGGGCAATCCCAACAGGCTGAAATTGCATCTGAGGTCAAAAGACCATATGTAATTTCTTAGAACTGTTTCTAAGACACCTCCCTACTTTCACTGTTCCCTCCAGGGTTTGATATTGGTTCAACAGACTAGGGAAATTTCAGAAAACGATGTTTCATGTTTGCACATTTGGTGACTCTGATATAGTTTGTCCAAAGACACGAAATCATTACAGTTTGCAGTCAACACACGTGTCAGGTTAGGGTGGGGAGGGTGGACAGAGCAGCGTTTTCAGGACTTGGAGGCTTCCCACGTGCACTGTGATTGGGAGGGTGTGGACTTTGGCTAAGTGTTACTTAGGATGGTGTTGTATAATTTAAACTCAAGGAAGGTTATTCAGATAAAGCCTCGAAGGCTCTGTCAACACAGTGAACAGGTCAGATATAAGGTCTTAGAACCTTTTTGTTATCCATTAGTCAGTTGGGGTCAGTAAACATTGACTGATGACAAGGCATAGGAGCCAGCTTGATTTAAAGGGGGTAATAATACCTTAATTATCAAATACAAATCTAGAACTGCTTATGTTACCTAAAAACACATGAGATGCTTCCACATGGGGATGTCTGGCTAGGTGGCCAAACTAATGCCATAGCCACTATAGTCATCTCTATAAAAATTTACATTCAAAACCTCATTTGCAAATAAGGTTGCAATTCAAAACTACAGAATTCATCTGGTAAATGTGTTTCAAAAACCATATTGGAAAAACGGAAAATGAGGCACAAAAATATTGGGAACATGATTTAGAAACTGAAATACCAACACATAACCATTTCTAGATTAAATAAGAAGTTTGAGGCAGAGGTTTCCATATATTCATTAATGAGGGAAAAAATACGTTCTGAAACATGGGTGCCTGAGTGTCAGTTTACCTTATGTCAGAAGGTCCCTGATACTCCTTGGTGACAGGGATGGAGTCTTACTCACCATTATATGCCAAATACCCAAACATGATGCTTAGGAAACTCAATACTTTTTTGTTAAATAAAAGTAGGATTAATTTTTACCCTGCCTTGTTCCAAAAAAAAAGGATTTAAGGGCCGGCCCAGTGGCTTAGCGGTTAAGTGCGTGCGCTCCGATGCTGGCGGCCCGGGTTCGGATCCTGGGTGCGCACTGACACACCACTTCTCCGGCCATGCTGAGGCCGCGTCCCACATACAGCAACTAGAAGGATGTGCAGCTATGACATACAACTATCTACTGGGGCCTTGGGGGGAAAATAAATAAATAAATAAAATCTTTAAAAAAAAAAAAAGGATTTAAGATTTCTGTTGAATGAATGAACAATGGTGACACTTCATATGTAAGCTTCTTCAAATTATCATTTCTCAGATAAATAGACAAAGTATATAATATTTAACTGAAGCAAAATGAAAGAACTCCCTGTGAAATGGAAATTTACTGTGTGGTGTATTTTAATTTGTGTGTATCCCAGACCATGTGGCTTGATTGTCCATTTGACTAACTGCTTACAGCTGTTTTATGAGAGAATTAAATGCTAGCAGACTGAACATCAAGGAAAGCAGGACAGTCCTTTGAAATTAAAATTAGGATTCTAAAGGGTACTTTTATTATGGGTTGGTAAATATATTTTTTTAAGAGAAGGAAAACATCTTTGAAATTTTAATAGAAGTCAATAATTCCTATGTATGACCTTTTAGGAGTGATTATAATACACAAATTAAGATTATGTTGTAATCTGTTTAGGAAGCTGGACACTAAAGGAATGCGATTTCAACTGTGAATTCTAGTCACTGGACAAAAAGACAACATTCCTGGTTTGTGTTTGCAAATTCTTCCTCTCAATCTGAAAGGCCTCAGTGCATCAGGTAGGTAAATGATAAGGCATTTAAGAACCTGGCAGAGGATCTTGCAAAATGGGGCAGCAGGGTTCTACTTATTTTACTGAAATTGTAACTGTAAGACAACAGCTGGAAATATAAAGAAACTCCAGAACTGGGATTAGAGTTCCAGGCATCAGCTCATTCTGCTTAGCCCTTGAATACAAGTGTCAGAGGTGAACTACAAGGTCGTAGTAATGCACGTGGGGCTGTGAGCCAGGATCTCGAAGGAACACTGAGGGCGACCTGTCTGACTGACGGGAAAGCACATCGTGGTACTTAGGGGAAATGTACTCTGACTTCCCTTCAGTTTGCATACATCTTTTGCCTTTTTCAAAAATCACCCTGGGGTACCTTCCCCTCTATGTCTCAGTAATGTTTGAGAGCATCTTTGTGAAAGGGAGGTTTGACACACGGAAGGGGTGGGTGGATCCTCTATTATTTCCTGTCCTACAGGTAGACTAACCCCATGATGGCAGGGCTTTCAAAGCCCCATATGGCTCCAGATGTCACACAGGCCAAATGTGTTTAAGTACATCTCTGCTTTCCTGAGTGGGTGAATGGGTCGCTTAGCTGGATACTTGACAACTATCAGAGGGATTTGGGCCAGGTTTTATGCATAAGGTTTTCTTTAAACAAGACCCATTTAGACATAAAATATTTCTCATGAGAAATCCTGTTCACAGGGTTAATGTAGAAACATGTCCATACAAAAAACCCAATATCCAGGACCAAAGTTAGAAAAAAACTCAGCTCGAGATTAAAGAGGTGGGGGCCGGCCCTGGGGCTTGGCGGTTGGGGGTGCGTGCTCCACTGCTGGCAGACCGGGTTTGGATCCCGGGCACGCACCGATGCACTGCTTGTCAGGCCATGCTGAGGCGGCGTCCCACATACAGCAACTAGAAGGATGTGCAACTATGACATATAACTATCTACTGGGGCTTTGGGGAGAAAAAGAGGAAAAAAAAGGAGGATTGTCAATAGATGTTAGCTCAGGGCTGGTCTTCCTCAGCAAAAAGAGGAGGATTGGCATGGATGTTAGCTCAGGGCTGATCTTCCTCACCAAAAAAAAAAAAAAAAGATTAAAGAGGTGATTGTCTTGAGCAAATCAAAAGTCAGTTTAAAACACGAACACCACATTTACCCAAGTTGCTAATGCCACCAGCTTCGTTATTAAGAATGGTTTAGAATAGAGAAGTTGAAGAAAAGTCTCCAAAAGTTGGTATTTCCTTGGGCTCCACTCCTAGTCTAGACTCTTGTCACTTCAGGCCTGGATGATTTCATGAGTCTCCTATTATCCTTTAGTTTCTCCCCTTTTTAACCTGTTCTGCATCTTTTCCTAAACTACTGTTTTCAAACCCTCCAATGACTCCCTTTCAGCGCAGGAATAAATGTACCCCCTCAGCCTGGCACTTGAGGCCTTCCACACTTGGTGATTTCCTCTCTGGTTACGAACTCTGGGTCATACCACAAAATACAGTCATTGCACAGCACAGAGAGACAGATCTTAGGAACTAACAGCATGGACCAATGTGCTCTGGTATTGCTGCTACGTAGCTGGGTAAGTATTTCTGTTCAATGCCAGTAAAGTTGTCCAGGTGAGGAGATATTTAAATGCCAAGCGTGCCTTTCTCTGCTCTGGGGTGTAGGGGTTGTAATATATTTTTCAACAAAAAGTAGATAACGAGACCTGAATTATTCCAGATTTATTCAAGCCCCAATATACAAAACCTAGAGCTAATATGCTATTTTATTCCTCCTAATAGAGTTATTGATTAGAATCGGTTTGATTAGGTTGGTTTGCCTCTGTAATACTTACTAAAATAGGACACAATATTTGTTAAGTATTTAGGGGGAATATTTGAAAACTTGTCTTAGAAACTTTAAATAGTTGAGAAATATTCATATATACATAGCTAATATCCTATTTATAAACATTCTTAGTTATTCATAAAAGCAACTATTCAAGGTCATTACTTTCAGTTACTAATTCTTTATAATAAGGGTTTACACTAATTTAGATGACTTTAATACCGAATTAGGCTACCTTTGTGGTTTACCTGAAACCCAGGTCTAAGCAGCAATATTTAAGCCTTTGGCCACATCCTGCTGGACATCACACAGGAGGCAGAGGCTGCACTGGCGGTGGAAGATGAACAAGGGCAGCGGAGCGGTGGGAGGAGGAGAGCCGAGAGCTGGCCACTGGCTCTTACCTTCAATAGCCTCATCAGCCCTTCCAGCTGAGCCATCAGCTCCCGCCTGCTCTCCTGCAGCGCTGACATTCTCTGCTCCAGTTCATCTTTCCTTTGCCTATCCGACAGGAAAGCCCATCAGAAATGAAACTTTGAAGACAAAAGGATCCTCAAAGAAGGGTCTAAGGCCAGGTGAAATGTGTCTTAGCTCTGATTCTGCTACTTAACCAGTGTATGAGATGCTGAGCAAGTCATTTAACCTCTGGTACCTTATGTATCAAGTGTTCATAATGTCTCTTTTGCCCACCTTCCTTTACTGTCATGAGAACAGCATGCAAAAATGCTTTGGAAAGTACACATGGCCACACAGAGAAAAAGTATTATTAATATTATTAAAGTGATTTTAAAAATTCTTCATCAGGAAGTTAAATACTGCATTTAGAAAAATACATAAAACCAGTCCAAATTGAAATTAACATTGGATAAAACACATGAAAACTGCTCAGGGTTCAGTAGTTAGTGCTTCCAGCAATGAAACATCGGGTTCAAGAAGTGTGACAGATGTCATGATGACTCTGTGTCTAAGAGAAATCACTTTTCCCCGAGGACAGATTTCATGTCAATTCTAGCTTAATATGTCCAAACCTAAGACTTTCCTCCCAAAATGGTTCTCTTTCCCAATTTCCCTATCTCTGCCACTTTTTCTTCCACTTGTCATGGCTGAAAACTTAGTCCTTTTTGATACTTCCCTGTTTACATCCTATATTCTAATCAGTCACCCAAATCAGATGATTCTCTCTTGGAAATTTATGTGTCTATCTTTCTATTCCCACTTCTCTCACTTTATCCAAGTGCTCCTTACCTCACACATGCAATGGTCTCCTAGCTTGATTAATCCTGATTTCACCTGTTACGGTGAGGAAAAAGCACTGGAATATAAATCAAGAGACTTGAGGACCAGCATTTACTCAATATGCAACCTTGGACAAATGATTTAACCTGAGCCTCAAACTTCTTTTCTCTAAAACGGGACTAATAACAAATAACAACAGCAATACTTTGAGGATCAAATAAGATAACGGATATGAAAGTGTTCTGTGATCTTTACAATGCTGCTTAAAGGAAAGCTGTGTTCCTTTTGTCATCCTATGCAATAATCTCAATAGTAGAATTTCTAGCATCACTGACTCTTGCGTGATCTAGACCTCTGCTGTCCAGTATGGTAGTCACCAGCCACATGTGACTGCTGAGCACTTGACACGAGGCTAGTCTGAATTGACATGTGCTGTAAGTGTAACATACACACCAGATTTCAAAAATCTATTGTGAAAAAATGAAAGTAAAATATCTCATTAATAATTTTTTAATGTTGAAATGATAATATTTTGGATATGTCAGGTTAAGTAAAAGATAGTATTAAAATTAATGACACCCACTTCCTTTTGGTTTTTCAATGTGGTTGTCAGAAAACTTTTAATTACATGTGTGGCTCACATGATATTTCTATTGGAGAGTGCTGCTCCAGACCCCACCTACACTCCTGCCCTTAGTGCCTCACCTCTTATTCCCTTCCATGTCTGGACCTCCAGCCAATGGTTTACTTTTCCCTAAACAGACCTCATCATTTTATGACTCATAGTTATTCTCCCATCTCTTCCAAATGTTATTCACTCCTTTAATGTCCATTCCAAATGTCACTCTTTCTAGGAAGCTGTTCCTGATTACTTCAGCAGGTTATCAGGTCCTGCTTAATTAATCACTATAGCAATTGGTGCTTCTCGTGGCACTTTATTTTACCTTGCACTGCTGTCATTCCTATCATGATGCAAAATCCTTGAGGTCAGGGGATGAACCTTACTCATCTTTGCAAGTATTGAATGATAAAGAAAATATCATGCATTCAGCATGTACTTAATTTACATCTAGTGAACTTAATAAAATCATTATTTGAAACCCTCCAAGGATTTCCAACAACCTATCACTTAAGGCTCTCCAGAATCCAGTCTCAATTATCTAACTAATTTTATCTCCTATCACTGGCACTCTAAAGACTAACTCAATGGATGACCGAAAATAAATCCTTAGCTCCAAGACTCTTTCTCCTCTCTGAAATGTGTCATACTTATTTATGGGATCATGCTGAACCCCAACCCCACTTCTAATCTGAAATGTTTTGTTTGTCCCACACTCCATTCAAATCATACCTACTCTCTATGGTCTAGCTCAACTTCCACCACCTCCATGGGTCTGTAACTGCTTCTAGCCTATATATATATAATCTTTCCCTACTCAGATTTCTTATAACATAATATCCATACTATTTATCAACATTGTATAATATTATTTAACTGACTAGCAAATTATTTTATGTTTTGTTTCTAAAACAAGATTGTACATTTTTTAGGATGGAATCATTGTCTTCTAGTCTTCGTACTCCCTAAATTTCCAGTGCGGGTATAAACTCAATAAAGAGAAGCTGACTCATTCAGTTTTCTTCCCTGAACTCCCAAGACTGGATGCAGTACTCTTTCTCTGTGCTGTGCATGACAAAATAATTGTAATATGTGGTGAAAATGAATGAACTACAACTATATGCAACAACATGGAAGGATCCTAAAGAGTAACACTGAAAGGGGGAAAAAAGTTCCAGAAGACTGCATATAATAACATTTCTAGAAAGCTCAAAAAACAAAAAGCAAAACTAAATACCTTACTATGTGAGAATACACATATATTTGGTAATACCGTCTAAAAAGCAAAGGAATGATAAATCAACTTCTGGATGAGGTCAGCTCTGTGGGGAAAGTAGAGACAAAGGAGATGGGATAAAGGGGCACTTATCCAGATGGTTCTAGCAACATTTGAGTCCTCAATTAGGATGTGGGTTCATGGGTGCTCATTTTATCACTATGCTTTATATCTTACACATTTGTCATATATATTATTGTAACAAACATACCATTAAAAATAATAATAAAAGGGGAAAAGACAACCCCGGTGGTCAGGATTCATAACCACTAATCCTAAGGATGAAATTCTCCATCTTGTTTTATTATACTAGCTGGGTGTTGGCAGTTCCTGGATTCATATATATTGATCAAAACCAGAAGGATGTCAGATATCTACAAATAAGTGTTTTTCGATAAACAAAAGTTCTTAATATTAATATAGTGGAATTTACCAACTTCTTTCATGGTTACTAATTCTGAGAAAATTATTTTCTATTCCAAAATCCTAAAGAAATTCTCCTACATTTTCTTCTGGAAGTTTTAAAGTTTTGTCTGCATGTTTAATCCAGCTGGTGGTGTTTTTTGTATATAGTGTGAGATAGAGAGCCAATATTTTTGCCCATACGCATCACCAATCGATCCAGCATACTTATTAAATAGTCCCTCTGTTTTCAGTGATATAGCAGCTGCTTTTGACATTAAATATTTTCAGACTTCCCAGGATTTAGACCTTGTTTGGACTTAAATTCCTGCTTCTACTGCCTTATGTGACATCCTTGGATTCAAGCCTTTTGTCTACTAATTCTATATTTTTCAGATCCCTCCAGCTTAACCAAGCACTGTTAGCAATCCCAGTTCTGGCAACAGTTAGACTCAAGTATGACAGTCTTTGGCTTTTCTAGCTACAAAATAGTCACTTGTGCCTGAGCTGTGGTGGGGAAAGAAAACAGTTGTATCTTATGCTGATAGCTCAGAGTTGTAGTCCTGAATCAGCACCATTTGTTTTCTCCTCCTTCCTAATGTAACACCAACTGTACTAATGTCCCAAATGTGGCTGCACAGCAACCCAAATCTCAGCCGAACTAAATTTAGAAACTAAAATGAACTTTTAGGAGAATGGGACTCTCTACACCTCTAATGATTCTTTTCTGCACAGCTTAAATTCTTTATGACTTATTTATTGATGATATAAATCTAAACAGAAGGACAGTTATAGAAAAACAATTACCTCCATTCTCTAGGAAAAGAAATCATGGTTGAGAAGGTAAATGACCTAAGCCAAAGGAAGAACTAAAAAAGGATATTCAGCTATGCAGAATCCCAGTTGATAGCACATTAAAAATCAACTGTGGAATGTCAGAGGTTACAACCTAAACAAAAAGAACTCACTATTTGGAAATCGGGAGGTCTGGTGAGAATCAAGTCACTGACTTAGTTTCCATAATGTCTTCACTTACAGAAGAGACTTGCACATCTGTCTAGGATTTATAGGAAATAAGAGCCTAATAACTTGGATCAGATCACTCTCGTGTTATACTCTTGTGGAAGACTTCCCCTTGCCTCCAAAACAGCATCAGAGTGGGAGCTGAAGTTGCTCTCTACCCTCATTTAGATCCCACGTCCTTAGTCTCTCAATCTTTGAGACAGTTTATATCTATGTTGAAGTGGGAAGGCACCAGAGCCGTGGTGCAAGGGATCCCTACTTGGTTTCATGTCTCAGTGGACGTGCACAGGAAGCACCCTCTTCCTTCAACAGAGTCCTGCTCTGACTATGAAGCGCCAGGAGAGTATACTCATAGGTCAGAGAGAACGTTATTCCTGCCAAGAGTCTCTAAAGTCAGACTAATTAGCAAGATAAGAAGATTGAGTGTAGCACAATGGTCTTCTTAAAGCAATCACAAAACTATCAACACTGCCCTGCTTGTCATGGAGCTGGACACTGGTGTTTACCTAGTTCTGTAATGAAGGCAGCAGTTCTCAGAGTGATTAATAAAGGAACTCAAACATCTGAAGCAGTAATGGAATGACTGGAACGCTTTAGCTGTTTGCTCTAACATGACTAGTTATACTGACAAATAGATTCTATCCCTCTAGTTTGGTTTCCTGAGACATAAATGTCTGCCGTAGCAGATTATAATTTGGGGACAGCGGGGCAGTATCCCTACTCACCTCAGCAGCCGCAGCTCTGCCAGCAATGTGGGGTTCTGCTGGGCCTTCTCAGGGGTGGGCTGGGAGGCCTGCTCATGCTCCAGACGGAGACGCTGAATCTCCTGCAGGATTTCTCTAGAGTGGATGGATGAAAGAAAGAAGGCTACATAGTGCTTCAGAGTTCGCTTTGTTTTTCCTGCTAGAAGTTTGTACCCTAGTAGTGCCACCTCTACCGATCTTGTTCCGATTGCTTCCAAATGACCAAGATACACGATGGACACCTTCTTAATACTGCTGCACTTGACATTTCCTCAATGAAATGATCCTTTGTGGTAGAAAAAGTCATAAAAATACTCTTCTTGGGAACTTGAAAAATATCCACAAAATTAAAACTACTAGAATACTCTGTTCCTCTCTGGGGAAAGGAAAAGAGAGCTCCTTGCAACCTCCTAATGCAGGTCCTATGCTAAACTTCCCCCAAGTCTTCCTCCGTCTCCCTTCTTCCCCTGACTCTGTCTTCTTACCTGTTTTTGTTTTCCAGTTCTGCAATAAGCTGTCTTTGTTGTTTGTTGGCATCAAAGTTAAAGCTCAAGTCAGTGGGAGGTCGGGTCTACAGTGAAGAGAAAAAAAGTTTTTGTTTTTTCTGATTAAAATATATCCAGAGGCCTAGACTGAGTGTTGATTTTTTAAAACAGATTTTTGAGGTATAATTTACATACCATAAAATCCACCCATTTTAAGTATACAATTCAGTGAATCTTAGTAAATTTAGACAGTTGTGCACCTAATCACCACGGTCCAGTTTTAGAACGTTTTCCATCACCACAAAAAATTCCCTTATGCCAGTCGGCAGTCAACTGCCACTCCCATCCCCAACCACAGGCAACTGCTGATCCACTTCCTGTCTACAGTTTGTCTTTTCTAGAAACTTCATATAAATGCAATCATACACATGTAGTCTTTGCATGATGTTTCTGAGGCTCATCTATATCGTCCCATGAATCAGGAGTTCCTTCCTTTTTATTGCTGAATAGTAATCTACTGTTTGCAGCTTTGGGCTATAAAAATGAAGCTGCTATGAACTTTCATTTACAAGTCTTTGTGTTGATACGTGTTTTCGTTTCTCTTGGGTAAGTACCTAGGAGTGGAATTCCTGAGTTATATGGTAACTCTATATTTAACATCTAGAGGAACTGTCATACTGTTTTCCAAAGTGGCTGGCCCATTTTACAATCCCACCAACAATGAATGAGGGTTCCAATTTCTCCACATCCTCACCAACACTTGTCATTGTCTTTTTGGTTTTAATTATCCTAGTGGGTATGAAGTATTTAATTGTGGGTTTTTTAAAAAATTGAGATATAATTTACATACCATAAAATCCACCCTTTTATTTTTTATTTATTTTTTTGTGAGGAAGACCAGCCCTGAGCTAACATCTAATGCCAATCCTCCCCTTTTTTGCTGAGGAAGACTGGGCCTGGGCTAACATCCGTTCCCATCTTCCTCTACTTTATATGGGAAGCCGCCACAGCATGGCTTAACAAGCAGTGCGTTGGTGCACACCCTGGATCCAAACTGGTGAGCCGCGGGCCCCACAGCAGAGTGCGTGCACTTAACCACTTGCGCCACTGAGCCGGCCCCTAAAACCCACCCTTTTAAAGTGCACACTTCAGTGGTTTCTAGTATATTTACAAGGTTGTGAGACCATCACCACTATCTAAATCCAGAGCAACTTCATGATCCCAAAAAGAAACCCCACACCCATTAGCAGTCACTCCCTACTCCCCCTCCCCACCACACAACTGCTACAACTTCTAATCTACTTTCTATCTCTATGGGTTTGCCTACTCTGGATATTTCATATAAATGGAATCATACAATACGTGATCTTTTATGCCAGGTGTCTTTCACTTAGCAAAATGTTTTCAGGGTTCATCTGTGTTATAGTATGTATCAATACTTTGTTACTTTTTATGGCTGAATAATATTCCATGACATGGATATACAACATTTTGCTTATCCATTCAACAGTTGATGGACATTTGGGTTGTTCCCATTTTTTTGTAGAGAGATGTTTTCATTTCTCATGGGTATATATCTAGAGGTGGAATTGCTAGGTCATACAGTAACTGCCTCTCGAGGAACTGCCAAACTGTTTTCCTAAGTGGCTGCATGATTTAACATTCCTACCAGCAATGAATGAGGGTTCCGTTTTTTCCATATCCTTGTCAACACTTGTATTGTCCAACTTTTTGATCACAGTCATCCTAGTGGGTATGAAGTGGTGTCTCACTGTAGATTCAATTTGCATTTCCCTACTGACTAATATGTTGAGCATACTTTCATATGCTTATTGGCTGTTTGTATACCTTCTTTGGCAAAATCACTTGTGGTTTTTGTTTTTGTTTTTTTGTTTGTGAGGAAGATCAGCCCTGAGCTAACATCCATGCTAATCCTCCTCTTTTTGCTGAGGAAGACCGGCTCTGAGCTAACATCTATTGCCAATCCTCCTCCTTGTTTTCCCCCAAAGCCCCAGTAGATAGTTGTATGTCATAGCTGCACGTTCTTCTAGTTGCTGTTTGTAGGACGCGACCTCACCATAGCCGGAGAAGCGGTGCGTCGGTGTGCGCCCGGGATCCGAACCCGGGCCGCCAGTAACAGAGCGCGCGCACTTAACCGCTAAGCCATGGAGCCGGCCCCTCACTTGTGGTTTTGATTTGCATATACACTGATATTTCTGACCCATATTACCTCCTTTAAGAATATGGAAGCCAATCAACACAAACTAGAAAAATAGATGACTAGGTAATGTTTCCATTTTTTTGATTAACCAGAATGAAAGCTCTCAAGGAAAGCTCTGCCATGGCTAAGTTTCATTCTGCACAAAACATGATCTATGATGAAGCAGAAACCTTGTTTCCCGTCTAGAGCTTGAAGATGCAACAAATCTTTTTTTTGCTGAGGAAGATTAGCCCTGAGCTAACGTCTGTGCCCATCTTCCTCTGTTTTGTATATGGGATGCTGCCACAGCATGACTTGATGAGCAGTGTGTATGTTTGTGCCCGGGATCTGAACCTGTGAACCCCAGGCTGCCGAAGCGGAGTGTGCGAATTTAACCACTATGCCACTGGGCCGGCCCCAACTAGTAATTCTTTTCATGGGGCATTTCCTAAATAAACAGGGGCAAAACAGCACAGCAAATCTGGGTGGGTGGCTTTGTATCAGATTACCAAATATTTTTCTTTCTTAAAAGAGAAAAAAAAGGTGACTTTTCTTCCTCCAGAGAAGAATGGACCAGCAGCCAATTAAGCAAATTTTCTATATTCTACTCAGTCTTGTCAGACAGAGTCTGAGGTAAGCCTCAGAAAAACAGCTTGCCTGAGATCAAACCTGCTATAAATAATAGATTTCCAATTCCTGAAAACTGGAGTTAAAACTAATGGCTCCTGGGGCTGGCCTGGTGGTGTAGTGGTTAAGTGCACGCAGGACCTACGCACCGCTCATCAAGCCATGCTGAGGCGGCGTCCCATATATAAAGTAAAGGAAGATGGGCACAGATGTTAGCTCAGCGACAATCTTCCTCACACACAAAAAAACAAAAAACTAATGGTTCCTTATTAGAGTGGGACCAGGGAAAATTATGGATGAGGAAATGAGCTCTGAAAGGAATTTGCTTCATATGATGGCAAACAAATAAAAATCCTGTAGTATTTCACTGGCAATTTCTAAAGAATCTTTTCAGTTCTGAGTGTCTGACTGAAATGCTGAGGCATCTTTAAAAGAGGAGGTTAATAGAGGAATCGAGAGTGTTAACAACAGCAATTCCTAACTAGGCAAAATTCTTTGGCACCAAGAAGCACTGTTCCTCAAATACAAAGAAGTGAGGGTGGAGGAAGATTCAAAGCCCCAGGCAGCAGTTCCACCTGAAGCAACCTGCACGCTTGCTCCTCTACCGGACATCACAACAGGGAGAGCCCCCAGTGCTAAGTGTCAAAGGACGGCTTTTTTCACCCAATCAAATTTTAAACACAATCAAGTGCGCAGTAACTGAGAAACTTACGACTTGATTTATTTACTATCTTAAACACCACTGGGGCCAGCCTGGTGGAATAGTGGTTAGGTGCATGCACTCAGCTGTGGTGGCCCGTGGTTCGCAGGTTCAGGTCCCGGGCTCGCACCAACACACCGCTTATCAAGCCATGCTATGGCGGCATCCCATATAAAGTGGAGGAAGATGGGCATGGATGTTAGCCCAGGGCCAGTCTTCCTTAGCAAAAAGAGGAGAATTGGTGACAGATGTTAGCTCAGGGCTAATTCTTCTCTCGCTCTCTCTCTCTCTCACACACACACACACACACACACACACACACACAGCACAGTGCTCCTTAAAAAACAACAACAACCAGGTATCCCTTCCTAAAATGCCTCCAGGACATTGACGAGAAAAAGACAAAAAAGGAATTATTAGTTCATAAAGACATAGAATACTTTGGCCAGAAGAGACCTAAAGATGATTTCTTTCAAAAATTAAATAGTTCATTCATTCATTCAACAAATATTTCCTGAGCACATACTGTGTGCTAGATATTGTTCTAGGAACTAGGGATGCATTAGTGAATAAGATACAGCCCCTACCCTCATGTAGCTTATATTACGCTGGGAGAGAAAGATAAGAACCCCAAAAATAAATATATAACAGTAGTGATAAATGTGATGAAGAAATACAGGGTAACAAAACAGAGTGAACTGAGACAGAAGACTTTTTTTTTGTGAGGAAGCCTGGCCATGAGCTAACATCCGTTGCCAATCTTCCTCTTTTTGCTGAGGAAGATCGGCCCTGAGCTAACATTCGTGCCCATCTTCCTCTATTTTGTATTTGGGACGCTGTCACAGCATGGCTTGACGAGCGGTACACCAGTTTGAGCCCGGGATCTGAACCTGCGAATCCCGAGCCGCTGAAGCAGAGGGTGCGAACTTAACCACTATGCCACTGGGCTGGCCCCAGACGACTTTTTTTTTTTGTGAGGAAGATCAGCCCTGAGCTAACATCCATGCCAATCCTCATTTTGCTGAGGAAGACTGGCCCTGGGCTAACACCCACGCCCATCTTCCTCCACTTTATATGGGATGCTGCCACAGCACGGCCTGACAAGGGGTGCATCAGTGCACGCCCAGGATCCAAACCCGGGCCACCAGCAGCAGAGGGCGTGCACTTAACTGCTATACCACAGGGCCGGCCCCCCAGAAGACTTTTTAAATGAAGTGGTTATGAAGGGGCTTTCAGAGACTCAATGAAGTGAGGAAGCAAACCAGGTGAAGGTCTGAGGGATGAACATGCTGGGCAGAAGGGCAGAGGCCAAGGCTTGCGGCTGCTCCAGCTTGGTGTGTTCAGGTCAGTGTTGATGGAGTAGAGTGAGCTATGGTGACGGTGGCAGCCATGAACTGGGAGATGAAGGTAGGGCCCAGATCACGTAGGGCCTTTTAGCCACGGAGAGGAGTTTCCATTTCATTCTGAATGTGGTGTGAAGCCACTGCAGGATTTTGAACAGGGAAATATGGAATCAATTCCAAATAACGTAGGTACATACTCCACCCTCGAGAAAGTGT